CAAATGAATCTTTTACCATTCTTTCTAGATAACTTACGATACAGTGAGTTGTGAATGAGAACAACACTTTCAACTGCATTATTTATCGAAAAATTTTATTTTGAAAATAAAATTTGATGTTAAAAATAATCTTGTTTTGAAATATTTCTAAAAAGAACATTTCATTAACTTTCAACTAGAAATGCTTCTATGGACTTTAAAAGAACATTGTACTCACTTTATCTAAAAAAAAATCTTCAATGTGATACTAAAAAGAATCATTTTACTAAATTAAATCTAAAAATGCTTCAATATAGGCAATAAAAGAACATTTCTATATCTTTTATCTAAATATTTCTAACGCCTAAATAAGAGCATTTTATTTTCTTTTATTTAAAAATACTTCAATAGCCTATAAACAATATTTTACTAATTTTTGTCTGGAAATATTTCTACGGACTAAATAAGACCATTTTACTTACTTATAGTTGAAACTTTATGTACTTCAATAAGCTATAAACCAACATTTTACTAGTTTTTTCTTCGATGGACTAAAAAAAACACACAAACATTTTATTAACAGATACCTAAAATACTTAAATGTGCTATAAATAAACATTTAACTAACATTTTGTCTAAAGTTACTATTTTGGACTATAAAATAACATTTACTAACTTCCATTTAAGAATTATTCAGTGGATTTAAAAGAAACATTGAAAGCAAAACATTTTACTAACTTCAAAAAATAATTCAGTAGACTTTCAAAAAACATTTGATTAACTTTCATCTAAAAATTCTTTAAACGGGCTATAGAAAACCCATTTTACAGACTGGTGTTTAAAAATACTACATGTATATTATACTATAAAAGAACTTACTTCTTCCTTATGTATTTTTAAACTACATGTATATTATACTATAAAAGAACATACTTCTAACTTATGCCTAAAAATATATCAATGTTCTATAAAAGAACATTTTTTTAAAATTTTATTAAAATAACTTCAATGGATACTTCAGTGACTTATAAAAGAACGTTCTACTAACTTTTGTCTAACAATTCTTCTATGGGCTATAAATGAACATAATGGAGAGGGAAATTCCTCAAAATTTTCTGTATGACATTTTGTCAGACTTCTCTTCAGAAATTGAGAACAATGAGAAGAGAAGCTTCATGTCGTAAATGGGTTAGGGTAACCCACGGGGGCATTGAGTGCCCTAGTTTATTCCATCAATGACAGTTTCCTTTATTATGAAACTTCAGGGGTCATGACCGACGTTATAGCTAATACTGATAGGAGAGGTGAATAAGGCTAAAATGTTCCATATAATTTTGCCCTTATGCTAAGAATGGAGAAGAAGGATTTTCCTTGTATCGAATACGATTAAATAATCTAAATGTTATATGAATTAAGCATGTATATCAATATACGCAAATGGTATACTGAAAACGAAGTCACAAAAATGCTAAAATTCAACGCTATGCTAATACATGTTTAATTTAATTCACTTTATTGACAATTACCATGTCGGCATATAGTCATGAACATTAATAACATAAAACAAATTGACACGATTAATACATGCATATACAAAGTGACAAAAATGTGAGGTAAACAAAATACTGTAGAGTATATTCACATGCTTGTAAGTATTCATTGCTGACTTTCTTTTCTGGTGTCCAAGCACTTTTTCAAGAAACAACACATCCTTCTAGCAGTTGTAATATTTGTAGGATTGACAATTTTTCTAATGGGATTATCACTAGTATATGTGTTTACATTAAATATATCAGAATACTTGCATCTATATTGGTCATACTTTGAACAGTATAGAACAAAATGAATTTCATTTTCAATAAACAATTTACATAAATAGCATAAACGATTTTCTCTAGGAATAGGAGGTTTACAGTATCTACCCATTTCAATATACAATGGATAGCACTGATCCTTAATTTTGTTAATACAGATCTATTACTTTTTTTCTAAGGTAGGTTTAAGAGGGCTGGGTGGTTGTGGCCATTTTCAGACTATATTGATCTCCTTTAGAAGAAGAGCTCCATATATGATCAAATTTCAAAGCTAAAATGTATGAAATTTTTGTTCGCCAAATGATAGTTCACAGCTTAAGATATCATATCTAAAAAATTAAGTTATATCTGATGGTAAATTTGTTGACCCCCAGCCTTCTTAAATAACTTTGCAATTTGTATTCATTTTGATTCACAATTTTGCTATAAAAAGCTAACTTTCCAGAGTCTGATTTGCTTATATTTTTCAGTTGTTCATGTATCTTGTTTTGGTAATGCTCTTGTAATTTGTTTTTCAAGGTTGTGTGAGAAATATCCAAAGAAGTGATATTTGATTTTTGTAGTAATGAAGACAGATATTCTAGATAAAAGTTTTTTGTCTTCTTTAAATGCAGAAACCACTAAATAGTTATTATAATCATGTTTGCATTACATTTCCTCCAGTCTCTTATAATATTTAAACATATATTCATAACATAAATAGTACAAAGGAAAACGACCCAATTCACATAAAACAACAAGATTTGATGCCTTTCTATGTACCCCTAGTATTTCTTTAAATATTAAGTGCTGTGATTTTTCCAAAGGAAATTGGTCTGTAGTGTAGACATTAAATCTCATTTAAAGTCATCCATATTTCAGATCCATATTTGATAATTGATATTATCATTGACTGATATAATCTCAACATAATTTCAGCTAAAAAATTAATATTTGCAGGAAAATTTGATTTAATAGCATAATAAGCTTTCCTTTTTCCTTGTAGGACATGGTTTCGACATTCTTATATATTAACGACAACCAGAATATTTGTTCCGGCCGATCCCACATCATAATACATCTCTCTCTCTCTCTCTCTCTCTCTCTCTCTCTATTGTATTTTTAATCGAAAGAATGACAGCTTAAACTCAAATCACATATACATTTGTATTTGTATATGATAATAGATAAGTTTTCACTTTGCTTATATAAATGATGATTATATAATGATTATATACCATGATGATATACAGTGATGAATTAAGTGAATGGTAAATATATTTTACACCCCTGATATACGAGTATATGCAATGAAGATCAAGCATATTATGCTATGTTTTTGTAAATACTAGTAAGAAAATGTGACCCCCGGTAAAACTGGGTCACCCCGATATGGACCACTGACGCTGACCGTTCCTTAATTTTTTTGTGGTTACGCCTGCGTAATACCAAAGACAGAACGTTTGACCCCATCAAACTAATCTTTATAAAAATAGTAATGACCTCAAGTTCACCACTATCTCCGGAAAAATAAAATATCTTGTTATTGTTATTGCAAAAGTAAATGACTAAGGATTTGTTTTGCAAATACTTACCATTCTGTTATTATATTAAAAAAATATATTCAAGGACGAATTTCCATTCATTTGATTCATTTTTTTCTTATTGTGACAGACATAGAATATATAAAATATGGCTACACGCTGCATGACATTCCGTTTCAGTAAAGCAATAGTGTTGACCTTTTGACTCTGCTTGACCATTCTGGACATTTCAATATAAGCGCCCCATCCCCAAGAGACACCCTGGTCACGCCATTTCATTGATGTTCTTTCTACTTTTTGTAAATCTGGCTGCCATTAAGACACGTGTAGTGATAGAATATATTAATGGGAAAAGCTACTTTAAACTGACGCCCCCTTGAAATTTTCCCTCTAAATAGAAGGGAAAAGTTGAAAATACATGTTAACAGTTTAAAAAAAAATCATTAAGGTATTATATGATTGTAATGTAGCGCTTAAATAATATATTATATGTGTATGCTATGTCTATTTTTACCGAGTTTCAATCAATAGTTGTCAAATCGCAAGAATTACGAATTGCAAATTCAATGCCAACTTAAATTCTTTAAGCAATTTAATGTATGAAGCTTATACTTTTGAACCTTTAAAATAATGTTTATCCCTAAAGTAATTCTTTGCATCAGTCCTTTAAGTTCAAGGAATTTTAAATTGTTCTTTCACTAGTTTGAGTGTTTTATATATAACCATAGCATGAATCTTTCATTTTTTAATAACTCCAATCTCGTTCTAATTTCAGAAAAATACTTCATAATTTCATCGAAATCGCAATGACGACTGTTCCTTTTACCGTATTCAGGAACGAGACAACAAGAAAAAAAAATAACAAAACAACAAGTTAACAACAGCTGCATTATATCTGTATCTTTATCATACCTGTATCTAGGTACATTTAAAAAAAATCGTCGGGAAGAGGTCATTGAAATCCTCCTATAGACTCTATATGCCATGTTATTCGTAATTTGATACCGTAACATAAGTCCACCCAGATGTAAATTGGTACCTACTTATGTTGGAAGTCAAAATTCGATAAAATAGTGTCCTGACCAGGGTCATTGAACCATTTCCTTTTTAGAAGAGAAGTAAATTACAAGTACGGATCCTATTGGCTATATGAGACAATGAAAGAAAGAGAAATAATTATCCCTGATACATGTAATGGAAGTCCGGCCAAGGTGACATAGAACGCTTATGACTCTTACATACATTGTATTTATTGGGATAATCTCACTACTGGGAAGAAGAAACTATATGAATCCATCATTTTCTGGTAAATTTTATTTCCTTCAATCTAAAACAAATTTGCATAGATTACAAACAATGTTATAATAACCTGAGCAGGATAACCGGTAAAACATACAAAAATCATATCATACAAGGAACTACATGTAAACTAAACTGCTGTCCTACAAGGCTGAGGTAGACTGTGAGAGAGTTGTGGATTTCACGTGTAAAAAAAAGAACATACACACAGAAATGAGTATTTAAAATGCTTCAACAAGCTCATTAAACTTTATCTTACTGATTTCACACTTATCATACAAAAACATTTCATATAATAAATCATACTTTATATGTTTGAGGCGTGTATTTCATCATAGCCATTTTCTGCTACTTCAGTAAATCCTAGAAAATGCTAAGATCGTTTTTAGACCGTAGCAGCTCTATCCCGATTTTGGTTTAGTCTCTGAAATACCATTGGCAAGTCGTCTGAAGGGTGCGGAACTGGCAAGTATTTTATTTTTGGATTCAGGTTCTTAACATGCCAACATGAACTTCGACAAATTTCGATAACGAATACTTTCAGCATAAGCAGTGCAAACTCTTTTCCTGCACAGCCTTTTTTACCTCCTCCAAAAGGAAAGTAATGTTCACGATCGTCAATTTGAAGAGAAGACCATCTATCTGGATTGAATACTTCCGGTTTGTCGATGACGGGACTGGTTTCATGAGAGTCTCGTATGCTATATACGATACTCCATCCTTTTGGTATTTGATAACCCTAGAAAATAGCAATAGTGAATAAAGATAATTCCTATAACAATTAAGATTATTAAAATTTTGGGAAGAAAAATTGCAGATTCTATTTATTGCATTTACCTCTATTTCGAGTGTCTGAAGTGCTTTTCTGTAGCCTCCTCCGATTGGTGGAGAAATTCGCAAGGCTTCCTTCACCACGTTCCGTACGTACTTTAATTTGTTGATTCGTCCAAGGTCTAAAGTAGAATTTCTGTTATCCAGCAAGCCATTCAAGGCAAGCTCTTCGGTGATCTTGAATAGGACATCGGGGTTCCTTGCTAAATTGAGAACCAACGTGCTAGCGGCACTTGATGTTGTCTCGTGGCCTGCAAACATCAATTCTAATGCGACGTTCTTCGCTTCTTCGATTTCCAGCTTTTCTTTTCCTTCTATTCCCATCATAAGACTTAATGCGTCCGCCGATCTTGTATCGGACCCACCATTTTGTTTCTGTAATATGATCTCTTCTATTTTTTGTAGCATGGTTTCCCGAGATTTCATTCCCTGTAATATATATTTTAAAAAAATTTGAAAAAAAACGTGTATATACAATATGTGCATATCTATATACCATTTGATAAAAATGTATATTAATGAACAGAGGGCAGTTTTACAAATAATTAAATGTTACCTTGTCCAGTCCTAACCCAGGTATCCGAATCGGTATACTGAAGAGACTGGACATGAAGGTCTCGAACGCACCCAATAGGCGGCCATGTTCGTCTTTGTTCATTTCAAACCCAAGCAAGACCTGACAGGAAAGCTCGAACGCTAAACTTCTAAATTCCTTATATCCCATAATATTCCCCTCGCAGCACCATTTGTTGATATACTTTTTGATAATAGTTTGTGTCAAAACGGCATAGCCGCTCAAAGCATCGTACGTGAAAGCTCTGAGGATGGCTCTTTTGCGAATTGTGTGAACTCTGCCCGATGCAAGCGTGAGACTGCCTTCTCCTAGCAGCATCTGTATGCTCCTTGGCCATTGCGACTCAACAAGAGAGTTTTCAGTCATTAGAACTTTCCGGGCATTTGCAGCTCCTATGATTCTAACGGTCGGTTTTCCAAGAATGTGCGTCTTGAAAACACTACCATGTTTTTCCCGTCTTTTGTCAAAAAATCGCCTTCCCTGTAAAAAAATATCAAACAATGAAGACGATTTAAGTAAAAATATATTTCTTGTCTTATTTTAATATCTTTCCAATAAATCAGCAATAGGAAGAAAATAAAGCACTTAAAAATTAGATATAAAGTTTGTAAAGTAATTCATTGCCACATAGTGGTTATGTGCTTTGAGCATTTCTGTTTTGTTTGTTTGTTTGTTTGTTTTTTTTTAGGATATGTAGAAGAAAGATTGGTACCAATTTATACATGTCACAAAACTTGTCCCCAAACCTGTCGTTTTCTGGGTCATATGCACCTGGGGGAAAACTTGCGTAATATTTATCAGTGACCACGGTGGGCATTATTTACCAAACGTAACGTCTCTTTGCTTATTTTCAATACGAGATAAAATTCATTATGGTTATTGAAGCTAAGTAAATACATCATACATTGTATATTGATAACGAAATGGAAGAAAATGAAGATTATGTGAAAGGAATTTTTGAGTACCAGTATGTGCATGTACTTGAAAAATATATTAGACTTTCCTTATGTGAATAAAAATCTGCTACATGAATCTCAGTTTTTCGTGATATAGCTCATTTGAATTGTTTGTCATTTTGCGTAATATCGCCGTAAGCAAGAAAACGCGACATTTGACGTCAGTTGGTTGTCTGATGACCTCAGCATCGGGAAGGAATATTACCTACAACCTTTTCACCTCTTTGGTATTTAAACAACATAGGTATGAATGAAAAGAATTTTCTCTAATTCTTTAAATAGCATACCCTCAATACCCTTAAAGGTTACGTAATGAAAAGCCTCTTTTAAACTCGTGCACAGCCTTCACCTTTAAGAGATTAGGAACATTTAAAATTTAAGAAATATACTTACCATGAATAAGAACGATATTGTTTCCCCTATGAATGGCACACCTAGGTCCCCTGGGGGTAGAGGGTAGTTTGATGTAGGGTCCATAGAGGAACAGATGAAGGAGTTCCAGAATTTACAGCATAAAAAAACGAGAAGCCATGATATCAGCACTGGATACACGATATAGGTTAATCTTCTGAATATCAGGAATATGTGAACGTAACTGAAATAAATGGGAAAAAACCGTCTTTGTCAAATATATCAGTCTTCTAAGATAAAAATTCTTAAGAATTTCAAATATATCTGGGTATTAAAATATGATGGTTAAAACTGTAAAATGGGGGAAATGGGAAAAAAAGGGAGAAAAAGAAAAAAAATGAACGTCGCTTATAATTAAGCAGATGAAATTTTAAATTAAAATGGTAACATATAAATCTAATAGAATGCTGAAGTAGTAAAACACATTATTTCATACTTATAAAAAGGGTTATTTTTTTAGGCATCGATTTTACTTACTGCATTTCGGATAAAACTTCTTCTTTGGGCAACATAGCCCGGCATGTTGAATTTGTGGGACATAGAACCTCAGAGGTTGAGTTTACCCATCGCCAATCAGTCGCCTCCATGACTTGCCCGCTCAGGTGAAGGATAAAAACAGTTCTACTACCAAAGTGCTAAGGCGTTTATATACAGTGACCAATTGACCGACGAGTTCGCTCTTTTAACAATCGGCACCACGTAATAACAGTTGAAGGGAGACCTCGGTCAAAACAATGACTAGTAGAGGCCGCAGGGGCGTGCTTCCTTAATCGGAAACACCGTTTTCATTCTTATAAAACAAAATTTTCAAAGATTTTTATCTCAAGGATCTTGAGCAAAAATTTTCTTTTCATATTTAAAAAAAAAAAAATAAAAAAATAAAATTAAAAAAAATAAAAGAACATTCCTCTTTGTTTTGGTTGTTTTTTTTAAGCAAAAAAGAAGTTACTGCATTGACAAACATTAAAATTTTAACTTATCATTGAACATCAAATCATCAACTTATAATCGAATTTGTATACTTTGCGAACTGAATATACTAAAATATGGTTTGATTTTATCGACCCTTTTTAGGCCCCCTGACCACTGCTGATGAGGTTCGGTCCATCGCTTTCTGAACCGCTGACCTCTCAATATAGGACAGCTTTTGGCCACGCCAATTCATTGATACAGTGATTAATATCCATGATTTTTCCCGCCAAATTTTTAGGCACGGTAAAATTCCTCTTGATGTTCTCTATTGATTTAAATCTGAATAAGTTCAGATAAAAATATGTTTATCTGATAACGAGAGAATATAGGACCCGCGTGGCCCTGTGTGTTTGTATTGTAGGGTCATTTCAGGTTTCTCTTCAGTTCAAGGTTTCTGTATCAAGATCACAAAACTCCCCATTCAATATAGATATCACTGCTACATGTAGTTTAAAATATGAATCAAGCACAAAAGTTAAAATGAGCAGATATTCCATGTATAATTACATCTTAGTAATTCCTTCTACTTAGCGTTCATTCAATTTATTTGACAATTTATTAGAATTAAAAAAGAAGATATTTTAACATACATTGCAACTTATTTGATAAACAAAAATTAATACAGAGTGAAATGAAGACCAGTGTCCCACTTTGACCTTCACATTTTTCGCCCGTTATCTGATCTGACCTTAATTGTCACAGGTATATACTGCACTCGTGAGGTCAGATTTTCTGGGATATATATGTCAATGTGTACGTACTAAGTAAGGCAAAGATTCCTGACTGTACACCTGGTGATTGTGTACATAATCAGATAAAAGTTTCAAACCTGTTCAATATCGCCAAATACCAGTATATCTTCCAAAATTTGATCACGGAAGAAAACCCCAAAATGTTATGAGAACAATTTTCAGTATCTAAAAGCTTTAAAAGTTTTGCCATACTCTATTTTAAAATTTATTAAGAACTTATCATTTCGGTCGAAAAATTTGATGAAATAATCCTAACATTTTGGGGATAGAAACATTTCTTCTTTTTCTGGGTTGACAATTAGATTATAAAATGATATTTATACAGAAATATTTTTTTTCTTCAAATGCTTTACTTTAAATGTCTAACTTGGACAATTTGGATCAGTTGCAAATGATGGTAAATGTACAATTTGCATGCTATTGTATATGTGTTTGTGTGTGTGTATGTGTGTGTTAAACAATGGCTGCATTTTGTCTTAATTAAAGTATCCTTTTTCAGCATTCTGAGGTATTGTCATGTTGTAAATTTTGAATTTACCGGGTGGCAGTAAATTCAAAATTTACAACATGACAGTATCTCGAAATGTACAAAATGTTGGGCAGGTTGGTACATGAAACATTGTCAAACTACCGTGTGTGAGTAGCTAATATCTATTTAAGTTCAGAGCAATATGTACTTGATATGGAAATATGATGCAATAATAAACACATTTTGTATATATGTTACATGTTTTGCTCACGCATGTATGTTGTTATAATTGTAATATGTTGCGTTGATCTCTATGTTGTTAAATAACAACCAAAGAGATGCTAATAAACTGGTAAACTGACCCTAGGACACTGTAAACATTTGTGGATTAAAAGCCAGTGCTCTGAGTATTTTAACCGTCAATTCTTAAAAAACTGAATAAACAGAGATTTATTATTTGATTAAAATTTTTTTAATGCATGGAGAAATTGCAATTACTAAAATAGGGAATTGTGTAAATTCCATTAAAAAATTAAACCATCAAAATATCTTGTCCAAAGATCAAGGAAATTGTTTGTGTGTGTGGGGGGGTGGGGGGGGGTGGGGGGGTATTTTTTATTCATTATTCCTCAGTGTGTAATTGTATGTAATTGAAAAGTAATGTGAATTGCCTTTTCTTGAAATTGAATAATAAAATTACAATTGCAATTACATTTAGGACCTATCAAATTTTATTTTAAGAGGGCTGGGTGGTTGTGGCCATTTTCAGACTATATTTATCTCCTTTAGAAGAAGAACTCCATATAAAGATATACAAAAATGATCAAATTTTAAAACTAAAATGAATGAAAATTTTCTTTGCCATATGATAGTTGACAGATTAAGATATCATATCTAAAAAAATAAGTTATATCTGCTGGTTAATTTGTTGACCCCCAACCTCCTTAATTCGATATAACGAATGTAAGGAATTATTGGATTTGTAATAACGAATTAAATTCGTTATAAGAATTTTTGAATTCGTAATAACGAATTAAATTTGTTATAACAGATTTGTTGAATTCGTTGTAACAAATTCAAAATATGTTATAACAGATTAAATTCGTTTAAACGAAGCTTTAAATTTGTTATAGCAAATTAAATTTGTTATCAAATTCAGCAATCGGTGCCTAAAGAATATATATATATATATATATATATATATATATATATATATATATATATATATATATATATCTATATATATATATATATAGATAGATAGATATATATATAGTTTGATGGGTCCTCAATGGGCTCCCGTATCATTGTAGAGATAATACAAATAATTTAATATTTAAAGGATATGATATTTATTTTACAAAGTCAAAATTCAAAATATAAAATATTAATAAATATTATATCAAAATATAAAGTATCGTAAAAAGAGCAATGTCTCTCAATGGTTCTTTTTCAGAAGACCATTAATGCCAAATCATTCCCATGCTTATTTTTTATTTAAGTATTAGAGACATTCACAATAGAAAGAAGATGTAGATGACGCAAATAAAGAAAACAAGTTGTATTATGTACGTAATTATTGAAAAACCTGTGAGAAAGTTTTTGTTATTTCATTTATTTACGTACAGTACTGTATAGAAATAACTTATAATGACTATTTTCGTGTTGAAGATTTATTGGAGCGTTAAAGGTTTCCCCTTTGACTTACCTTTATCCAATATGTAAGTATATTTGTAGATATTTAAGGTCTATAGGGGTGAAAGCGGGGTTACGTTTATGTAATCACACAATACCTCACCACGAGGACAGGCAAAGGTCAATCTTGTATCTAAAAAAAATGGCGCCCCGGGGACCCTCTCTAATCCTGACCAATTAAACAAACAGTGTGACTGGATTGGTCACTGTGTGGTCAGGGCCTACAGAGACTCTCAGGCCAAATATTTTCATGAATGGAACGTGGGATTCATTGATAGGTCGTCAGGTGAACGTAAGGTGAAACTTCTGTTACGGTTTGGGAGGGAGTGAGGGTTTGCTATTGATCGTGTGACCCCCTATGGGTCTGGTTATGACATAGACTGGACATAGAGGCTCCGGTTACCCATCGACCACACCTGGACCGTATTTTTTTTAAAAACCAAAATTACTGAAACCACGTCTTTGTTCCCTTAAGTCTTGAAAAGTACATGTAAACTTCGTATGCTTGGAAAACACCTGACCATTTAAAAAAATCACCTTAATAATTCGTTTCTGTTGGTAATTTATTGATGACAACAAGTTGAAAGTTACAGTTTCTATTTTATGAAAGATTGTATAATATTAATATAAGACTACATAGAATTTACACTTTCGGTTTTGCGGGTATCAGGGAACGTTAAAATGAAAAAAAGAGTAAATTTCAGTCATTTGTATTAAATTTTATGAGATGACTCAATTTTATTAGTATGTAAAAATGTTTCGGTAATAGTACAATAAGCCACCTTGTCCATGATGAATCAGATGTGCTTTGATGCTTGGTTAATACGACTTAAATGATTTATATACATGTATTTGTGAATCTTGCTGAGCGAATATTTCAATGTTCTGTACGTATAAAGCAAATTATATGTACTCACAAAATTGTAGATGCTCTATTTACATGTACGTGTATCTCATTTGAAGTTCTTATTTTTATCAAATCAACCCAGAAAATAGTTTATTGTGTACAGTGAAACCTGTCTTATCCGACATGCTGCGGGAAATAAAATCAAAGTCGGATTAGGCAGTGTGTCGGATTACCCAGTGTTGAATATTTCTGAGCATTATCATATGTGTCAGACGACTTCATACAAAAAAAATCATTTTTCGTTAGGTTAAGAATACACTTATATTTAATT